ATTTCTCCTAAAACTCTCCAAGCATACTTTAAACGTATAACATTTAAATGAGAAACATATTGTACTTGACAACGAAACATGGGCTTTGTGGTAAGGAAGACCCAAGACTGAGGTTTAGTTAGATTGGCTTGAAGGCTATCTTTCAGAAGGCGGAGAGATACTATTAACAAATCAAACGTTCTTTCTTTTTTTTGATAGCAAATGCAGGTGATGAATGCCAACAGAAATAGAGGAAAATACACTCCCCAATAGAGAAGTATCAGCATGCAGAAAAGGACCCCAAAATCTGCTGAAATATATAGGTGGTCCTTCAGGTTCGAGGAAGACACACTGTTGTGCGGTTCATCTGTGGGCATGGAAGGGGTTCTGCAGTCCCAGTCTGGAAATGCAGAGTCCAGCACAATGGGGAAACTGGAAGTCCACTGTTGTAGTAACTATGGGTGTTATTCTGTGATACTGCTCACAGTTTTCTATCAGTGTCTGGCAGTGCCTGTCTTCAAAACCAGTGGAGGCTTCAAGGCACAGGGCTCGTCAGCGAGTTCTGTCAGTAGCTGCAGCTTCTAGTTCCCTTGGCTGGATGTCACTGTAGCATAGGATTTTCTTCACAGTGTCTCTGTAGTGCTTGCGTGGATGACCTCAAGGTCTTCGAGGCATATGAAGGTCATCCATTCTGATGATGTGTCCCACCCACTGCATCTGGGCTTTGATAATCAGGGACTTGATGGTGGACTTCGTGTGATCCAGGACCTCCAGGCTGGAGACACAGCCTTGTCAACAAATGCCAAGGATGGAGTGGAGAGCGCACATGTGAAATTTCTCCAGTTGTCTGATGTGTCATCAGTACAGAGTCCCCCCAAAATAATTAAGATTGAGCATGGTCACTAATCTTGGATCGCCATATCAATTAATTATGTTCTCTGTTTTAAGCTGTTTTATGCTTGTTAAGATCTGGGTTTTTTTATTTCTAGAATTTTTATTATCAAATAGTTTTCATTTGTTGTGACCCTTCTTTGGGACATTTTACCTATGTAGATTAGAAAGTTTATAAATGAAATGAAGAGTAATATTTACAGAAAGGAAAGGGAAGTTGTGACTTAGATGATCTTCAACTCTAATTCCCATCCTATTTAGCAAAGGAGATTGGCAGGAATTATATCAGATGCAGTCTGGTACTATCCTTAGGACCACAGCTTCCCCATCCCTGACTTACAACATAATCCTACGCAAAGAAGCCTCCCTGTGTTCAAATGTCCTGACTCTCCTAATTTAAGTTTCTTTAGGAATATGACTTATGTTTGTTTGTTGGCTTATAAGTATTCTGGCATGCTGCACTGCACAGTTTGGGAATGACACGGAAAATGGTTGAGAAGCCATCAAGGGTGACGGTAATGGACAAACATCACCAATGGTCTGATTGGACAGAAAGGGCTTCTTAAAAGACTGAACTAGCTTGTTCTTTCCTGCAATAGTTTTCTTATCAAAGCCAAGAGTCCCCTGCTTATATAATGATTACTTACGTATCTCAAAGCTAAAGCCAAGGGAGGATTTTGCTCTTTTTCAAGAAGGAAAGCATATTCCCCCCTCCTTTAAGGACAGACAAAACCACTTCAAATAGTTCAGACCTAAGTGACTAAACTCAAAGAAAACTCTGAAGAAGCAACAACTGAATTAAAATATTTTTAAATTA